CGGCCAGATCTATATTACAGCTGATTAGACGAACCTTTATGGGGTTTGAAAATGACAGCACTTCAAAAGTAATTCGAAGCTGCGTTCAGCCGCACCTAGAATCCGCTATACAGTCAAAGAGAGCTTGGACTGTCAAAGATTGTACCATCTTAGAGAAAGTCCAGAGGTCTGGAAACACTATCCCATGAAAACAGACTGTCGGTCCTCAACCTATTTCCTCTATCCTACAGGAAACTACGAGGAAATCTCACATTAACCTTCCGTATTATGAATGGCCTGGATTGTTGCTTTGTCCCCGATGATTTTTCCACTCAGGCTAACACACCCACCTTGCACGGTCATCTCCTAAAACTACGTCCAGGCAAAGTAAGTATCAATGGACGCAAGATTTTCTTTAGTAACAAAATGGTTGCAGCGTGCGACGCTCTGTCCGAAGATGCTGTTCCGTCCACCTGTGTGAATTCATTTAAGAGCAAACTGGACGTGCATCAAAATTCTCATTCCCCTGCTTCACACTTATCCTGAGACCAATTACGTATACTACTCGTGCTAATTGAGTAGCCAGGTATGATTACTCATTCGGCTAACTAACAGCTGTCCGATTTTCACCTGCAGGCATGTAATTTACTTATATTTTGAATTTTTCTTTTGTATCGATACATTTCCTAGACATTGTTTTATAGCAATAGGGAGCTTAAAGGCGTTCATACATCTTTTCCTTGATAAAACTGAATTGAACCAAAATACAGGAGCAAACAACTCACTCTGATCCAGACAAGTACGACCAGGTCCAAGAGATAGGTTTTCGAATCGCCAAATCAAACATTAAGCCAGCCAACTTTGAAATGAGCCCATCCATTTCAGGAATTTTCAAAGTCCCGTTTTCCAGCTTATAGTTGAGGACTTGATGCAAGCAGTCAGGTGAAAGGACAGCCCCATCCGGAGGGAAGGTGCGCGAGAAAAGTTTCTTTAAAGCATTCTCCGAAACCACAACAACGCGGTGGCAGTTAGCGTAGTCTTCGATGAGATTAGACCAGAAGGAAATCTTCTGTTCGAAGCCAGTGGGGTCTATTTCGCGGGGGCGCTTGATCCTTTGCATGAGACGATACATCTCGTCATCATTCTGCCAGATAGGAGGCAGAGCGAAGGATGTTTGCATCTTTGGATGGCAGTTAAATGTCACTAGAGCCTCTGTAGAGTCTAAAACATGCCTGGAGAGTACGAGTCACTGAGCTGGGCCTCGCTGAAGGGTTGTGCAAGGCTTTCCTGGAGCCGATACCTAGGAGAGATAAAGGCACAATAGTTTTAGACTAGTGAAGGGTGTAAAAAATTTTAAAAATGGCTGCTGACCAAATGAAATTTAACTAATAGAAGTGAAGAGTGTGGGGAGAAGGCTGATGAGGCCCAGTAAAACAAATGCAAGCATTACGAAACATTGATGACTGTCTATCCTGTGGACTCCATTGTGGTCTATAATCGTATTAATAACGCTCGTGCTGTTGGCGACAACAACTTCTCAAGACCCTTCAACATAGGGCCTGACATTTGAAACGATTTTTACTACGATCGATCCCGCGTAAGCATTTTAAGGAATAGAGTTGTTACAAGGCCAAATTTTTTACCAGACATAGTCTGACGGACGGAAACAGTGATATCGACCTGCTAGCGGCATTTGTTTCAGAAACTGTCTCTTAAGCCAGAAAACGCATCCATTAACACTCTAAAATCTGAAGCATCCTCAAGGAGAAATTGGCCTTTGTGATTGGCAACTACCAGTTTTTGTGTCCAATAAAGAACATGGAAGATGTGAACAGAATTTGTGCGGCTTGCAATGTTAGCATGCCCCAAGGGTGGGGGACGGGTTGTTTGAGGGCTCGTTGCAATATCTTAATCTACAAAGAGATAGCCGCATTCATGCGATTCGCCCTTTCTAACGGCTTTGGACACAAACTACGAGCACAAAAATGGAATATTGAAGCTCCCTCTGTTGTCGAAAAAAGATAATTTAAGCGGACAGTGTGGGCTGCATTTCGAACATAACAAAAGACAAATTTAAGAAAACTGCCACAGCCTCACTGGAGGCGGGAGAACGAAAGTTAGTTGAAGATTGGCTTAAAAAATATTCCGTCGAGAGGCTTCCTAGTAATAAAGTCATTGGGAAAAAAAAAGATAGCAGAGTCATAAAATCCTCGCGATTATAAGAACATATAATCAGTAGGTTTTAATGCAACTTAAATTGAGAGAAACAGCCAGACAAACTTGCAAGTTCGGCAAAACTCGGTGAAAAATTTGGCCTAGAAATTCAAAAGAATACGAGGAATGAGAGGTGCTAAATGGGGAACATTTCCCAAAATTCTTGTTAACAATAGAGTCAGACAACCATTGGCCCCGTGAAAAATAAATATACACGAAAAGAGCTGACCGCGTGTAGGCGACAAATTCTCGCAATAAGGCTTCCCATACCTAGGAAATAGGCCAGGATTTCGAATCCGCGGCCGCGAACGTAATTGCCCACATCGGAAGCAAGACGAGCCGTATAATCTGGCGCCGGCGAACAGAGTTCAGCATAGTGCTTTTCGGACTTACGCCATTGATAACTGATTGAGTTTGTTTTTTTTCT